GGGATTTGAACCCACGCCTCCATTGGGAGACCAGAAGTCCCACTGCTGAGGAAGGAGTTTACCTTGAGTCTGGCGCCTTAGACCACTCGGCCATCCTGACAACCATGCGAGTTCGGCCGAAGCAGACATTTAAATATTTGTAATTCTGCGGTATTGATATTTGCTGTTGCTATCGATGGTGAGGTTGTTGTTTCTTCCATTTAAGGTCTTTGAAATCTGTTATTCGAGCTCAAATTCATACGTTAAACTCAAAGGACCGCCTGCTGGATGTGTAGCTCATTGACAGTAACGTTATAAATAAGGTGTAGCCATTTACCCATGTTGACAGTAATAACCGTATATATCCACCAGGGGCGCTGTATTTCCGGTGGTGGTACATGTGACTGACTCCCCGCCCATCTTGGTCTTACTACATAACTACCACCAGTCATTCTTATGAAACGAAAACATTGGACTCGTCAATAACAGTATATATAAGGACTCGACTCTACACCATTTGTAGACACATTAAGAGGACACATTTGTGTTAAAAATGTCCATTTACAGGAATGCCGTTTGGTTTGTGAAAGGACTCCAGGAGTATACAAAGTAAGTGGGGAGTATTTTGTTCTACTGAGCCTTTACAGTTTCACGTTAAGTCATCAAATCTCTCGTAGTGTTTATGGTTTGCACAACATTTACCTAACCCTCCTTATGCAGCTAGTATTAACCTTGAGGACAGTTGCTGGTTAACTAGCAGTGGTTACACAACGCTGTACAGTATACAGCTGAGACTGTAGTCTATTCAATGTCAATAAGTGGTAAAGAAGCTCATTACACTTTCCCAGAGCTCAAGTGACGTCGCTCTAATGTATCATTTGTTATTTATTATTTATCATTATTATTATTATTGTATTACTTAGCTATAGAACTGAAAATAAGCAGTAAAATGTCACTTTTAAGAAGCAAGAGGCAGTCAATGTTTGACACTTTTGCTTGATCAATGACTTATATGATTACTCATATAGTCACATAGTTTTTAGTCAGCCTTTAACAGTGCTGTTAAGGGCTGCTGGCTAAAGAGCAGTGTTTTACCGTCCTCTCAGGTTGAAAGTTTGAAGTCTGCCTCACCTTTGAGCACGGCCCAGCACATCTATCAGGGATGGACGTGCCGTATGTGTAATGTATTTACTGCTTTTTGATCTTAACAGGAGTGGCTATGAATCTGCAGCCAAGCATTTTGCTCCAGCAGACCTGGATGTAAACCTGAGCGGGAGGTCTTTCATGATAACAGGTGCCAACAGCGGGATAGGGAAAGCTACAGCGCAGGAAATTGCCAGCAGAGGTGAGTGTTTGAATGTCCACAGGTCAGTTTTCTCTTCTCTTTTTCCCCTCTAAGCTGGTCTCTAAGAGCTACAAGGTGTGGCAGCAACATACTTGTCAGACATGCCTTCAATGTGGACCAGGACTGATTCATTGATTGACTGACACCTCATCAGTGCAGTGTCCATTGATGTGTTGTTTTTTTTGGGGTCTGCAGGGGGAACCGTTCACATGGTGTGTCGAAACAAGGGGCGAGCAGAAGCAGCCAAAGATGAAATTGTGGAACGGAGTAAAAATCAGGTGAGAGTTGTGTGTCTGTCCCAGAGGAGAGATTGGAGAAACCTCAGGAGGAGGGGGGGCGTCCTTATCTGAATCATGGGTCAGAAGATAGACGGTGTCATATGTTCTCATTGTAAAGCCCTCTGAGGCAGATTTGGGATTGGGAAATGGATTTGTTTTAATCGAAAAACACATTACACAATACTCGTGTAATTGATTAAGAGATAACTGTTGTAGATAGAGCCAACAAATATTGCAAAGAGTTGATTAATATTTCTGTAAATTGACATGTTTTATATGTCATAATGTAATGTGTTGTTAGCGAGCCAAAGAAAGTCTGTTTCTCTGTTTAAAACTCTAATTTATGAATCTGCTTTTCTTGGTGTTATTTCATTGTAAAGTGAATTTCTTTGGGTTTTGAACTTGTTCAGACAATAGACGTCACAGTCGGCACTGGGACGTTAGGATGGTAATTTTTCACAGTTTTTGATGTTTAGTAAACAACCAACAGTTTCATCAAGTATTGGATGGGCATAATAGGAGAATAGGATAACCCTGTCATTTCCATTTTCAGAGTTTATGAAAAGAGGTTGACAGTATTTATGTTTTCTGTTCAGAATGTTCACGTCCACATCGTTGACATGTCCAGCGCGAGACAAGTGTGGGAGTTCACCCAGAACTTCTCACAAAACAACACTGTACACGTACTGGTAGGTGATATGTAGCTACGACTAATGTAGCTCCGTCTGTAACACACTCACTGTAGTCACTGAATCACTTATTTATCTGTTCACCAGATAAACAATGCAGGCTGTATGGTGAACCAGAGAGAGTTGACTGAAGAGGGTTTGGAGAAGAACTTTGCCACAAATACACTCGGTAAAGTATTTTAAAGACTAGTTCCAATGCAAGTACCTGAGTTTAGGTACCAATTCCAAACAATACTTTTTTTTGATATCTTGCTTTGAGAAATGAAAACAGGTCTTTCCAAGTCTTTTTTGACGAATGCAGCCAAAGTTCTTAAATGTTAGTGTAAAATTTTAAACAAGAACTGTGTTTTAAAGAGTCTGTCAGCACCAGGGACAAATAGACAGAAAGATCTTTCTTGTCTTTTTGACAAATTAAGAAAAGTCTCAGCAGTTGTTGTCTTAAGAAAAGTGGTGTACAACTACTTTATCTAAAGTACTGCATAGTGCATACATTTAAGAATCTACTGGTTTAAGTTATTAAAAAATATAAAAGATTTGACCTAGAATTTGGTCCTTGAGAGCTTTTGATGCTCAGTAGTCAAAAATAGTGCAGTTCGCATTATCAGCTATAGCCGATGTTCAGATAAGTGTTGCTGATCTGTGCTTACCTTTATTTTCAGGTACGTACATCCTCACCACAGCATTGATACCTGCACTGAAGAAGGTTGAAGACCCGAGAGTGGTGGGTTGAATTTCAACTGAGGAAAACACTTACCATGTCAAAAATAATGATGCACAAACACGTGGTGGAAAGTTAAAGATGCTTTTCACTGTTGGACCTATGAACAGGCAGACTCACACAGTGCATGTAAATTGTAACGCTTTATTAAAAGTAAAAATACATATCTGCTACTGCCTCCTCCCCAGGTCACTGTGTCGTCAGGTGGCATGCTCACACAGAAGATGAACGTGGACGACCTCCAGTTTGAGAAGGGGACGTTTGACGGCACCATGGCCTACGCTCAGAACAAAGTAAAGGAGACTGATTTACAGCAACAGAAATGACTGAGGCATGTATCCATGTTTGTTGAAGTGTTTTTTGTGTTGTCATTTTGACAGAGACAGCAGGTGATTCTGACAGAGAGATGGGCCTCTCAGCACAAAGAGATCCACTTCTCCTCCATGCACCCCGGCTGGGCAGACACACCAGGTAAACAAAATAAATATGTCACAAAAAAGTCCCCCTCCACTCAAAAGTATGTTTTTCTTCTTGTTCCTACAGTGTAATGTTTGAGCTGTGCAGAATGCTGTATGTGCAGAGTTGGACACTAGAAGGATGTTTTCACATTCATCTGCTGAAAGTGGAAAGTTTCGGAATATACATCAATAATAATAATGATTAATTATGATTAATAACAATAAACACATCCTAAATACCACAGTATTGGTACAGACAGTGAAACAAAATCAGTGCTGTGTATTTTGTTGCACACTATTATAAAGAGAGTGAATTATACCCTCTGAGTTTCACCTACAGGTGAAAGGAAACGTGTGATTGGCAGTTTTGTTTTTCTCTCTGTAGCTGTCCAGACGTCCATGCCTTCATTCCACGCTAAGATGCAGTCCAAACTGAGGACGGAGGCCATGGGGGCTGACACCGCGGTGTGGCTCGCCGTGTCTGCAGCCGCCATAAAGCAGCCAAGCGGACTCTTCTTCCAGGGTCAGAAACATTCAGTTTTTCTGTCTCAACTTTTTATCTCAGGGTAGAAAAATATTTTTTAGATTGTATATTATCTATATTGTACACTTACATACAGTAGTTGTTGTGTTCAAACTTTCTTGTTTACAATTGTTAGATTTAAAATGATTTAGAGTCAATAGACCTTTTTAACAGCAGCCATTTTGACATAAAATAGTAGTGTAAACACAGATGTTAAACATGTCAGGTCAAACAGAGTCAGGGTGCTGCTATTGTGCATGTCGGCTCACTTAAAAGCTCTGCTACACTAAATGGAACGGAAACCATAACTAGTGTCATTGGTAACACCTGTGTTTACCCTACTTTTTATATCAAAATGACTGCTGTGAAAAAGGTCTATTAGCAAATATGGAATTCTGGATTCAGATTTAATGAATTGCTACTGAAGCCCAGCCATAGAGGCTTGGATTATGTTTTGTTGGGTCCTGATGGAGACTCTAATTTCTCACTGTGGGTGTTTAAGAAGCAAATTTACACTTTATGCACGACTGATATGAAAGTACTGAGCCAAGTGAAGGCTTCTTGTAAATGGAGGAGACTGGGACATAATTATGATGAGTGATTCAGTAATTAGTAATAGCAAACTGATCCTGGCTGCTGTCTCATATATGTCCATAAAATGTCTTCCAGACCGCAAAGCGGTGGCGACTCACCTGCCGCTGGCCTCCTCCAGGTCCACGCCACAGGAGGAGGAGAAGCTTCTGACTACTCTGGAGGAGTTTGCCGTCAAGTTCAAACCTTAACATCTCTGCAAATGTCTTACTGAAACCAAACACTCCTTAGTAATTATTAATGTTTACGTAATTGCTTATGTACACTTTTTTGCATTTTGTACTAATACTTGAAAGACTAGATTTCATTTAAGGAATCTTAAACTGTGCTGAGGTTGTTTTTTAAGGAAAGAAGGATGTACAGTTGTTGAGGCTTTTACTAGGCTGATCAGGCCTACAGTGAATCTCAAAAAACCTTGCCTCTATAAATACACTCAAAATGCTGAACACTATTCATCAAGCCTACAGGGACAAATGAATATATCACTGATGCTTTTATACAAATGTAACACAAAATGCAATGTGTATATTAATTTGTAATAATATATAAAATATACTGTTTAATTTCAGGCCATTTTGATGGGTGGCTTCCTTTTTGTCTGCATCCATATGGGTTGTGTCTTGAAAGTACATATGCAGGGCCCATTGGAGGCTGGAAAGAGTGTAGCTGACATTTCATTATCCTGGTGAGCTAACAAGCTGTAAGAGATGAAATAAAGCCTCAGGTCAGGTTCGGATCTTAAATTTGGCAGCACTGGGTTCAGTCATATCAGGTCTTAAAATATACAGGTACAGGCCGGGTTCAGGTCTCAGTTTTAGGCTCATTAAGAACCCCAGTCACTGTTTATCTGTTTTCTTGGGTCCCAAAAGCTTGGATAGAGAGACACAATTAAGTATTAATATTCAGTAAAATGGCCAAATCATATGCACTTTAAATGGAAATGTAATTTTCACTTCAATGCTTTACTGATGTTCACATATTCTCATTCTGAAATACTGAAAATTCAGTAGTTGCTCTCACTAGCAAATATGTTAAGCTGATTACACAAGTGAAATTAATAGAACATTTTGACAACCAGTTAATCGTTTAAGTGATTTATCGAGTAAAAATACCAAAATAAGCGTCAGCTAGATCCTGCTGCTCCAATGTGAGGATTTGCTGCTTGTCTCTGTTTTATATCAGCTGAATATCTTTTAGGATTTTGGACTGTTGGTCACACAGAGTAATTTGAGCAAATCACTTTGTGATGTAATAACTCGAGATGATCATTTATCAATATTTCTGACAGTTTATTGAGAATTTATTGCATTATTTGATCAAAAAATGATTAGTTGCTGACTGCTCTTTATCTACTGTGCCACAGAATATAAATCAAAGCAAAGTGTAATTTGTTTGGGGAGTTTTGGAACTAAAGACTTTCTGGATGCCATTTCATAACAATCCTGAATAAATTCACAACAGACTTAAATCACAACACCAACAACATTGCTGAAATGATGTCTTTCTCTGGCTTCAAGAGAAATGTTCTATCTGGACTGTGTTGCTTCAAAAGAAGCGTTGAAGAAGAACATGAGGGATTTGTGGCACAAAAACTCAGTGGATGCATAAAATGTGTAACAGGAAGCAGACAGCTGCAGAGGAATATGCCCATAAGTAAAAAAAAAAAAAAAAAAAAAAAAAAAAAAAAAGGGAAAAAGATACTGATGCACATGAATCAGTGTGATATGATAAAACAAGACAACAAACAGACTCACAGTTGGTTGAGTAGGTAAACCTGCCCTTTTAATGTAATTTATGCATACATGGTTATATTAACGGACACATGGGAAACACACGTCTGTTATCTTTCCTGCAACAGAAAAAAAGACCACTGGCCTCAGATGAATATAATCACTTTGACTGCAACAAAACTTTAGGTATTGTATATATAATAGCTTTGTATCTCCTGTGTAGTAGTGTGTGTTTTTTTTTACATTTAAAAGACAAGTGATTTTGCCCATTTAAATCACATGCATGATTTTTTTACTACGAGCCACAGTTTTACATTAATTTCAGTACAGAATGACAATCAATTTGGTGGAAAGATCGGAAAAACACATCCTAAAAACCTACAACTGTACACCATGCATGTGAAACTGGTCTGCAAAGAATACACATGATTTGCAGTTGCGGAGCTGAAACCTCAGAAAAACACTGGTACAGGCCTTTAAGGTTTTAGTACCCACAGGCTCACATTCATGAGTGAACAGCTGCTGTAAATGTACCTTTGTGGGTAGCCGTTAAAGTGCAGGCAAATGTTTTTCATTTCTCTACTGTTGGATGAAATCTTTTACATAACTGTATGTTTGATCGATCTATGGAAACATCTTTGGAAAACATTTAGTGGGGTTTGAAGATTAGAGGAAATTAACTTAGTTACTGTCTGATCATTAAAGCACAAACATTATAATCACAAACAAATTCATATTTTCTCTTCACAGCAGCGATTTGTGACGTATTTTTGCTTTCTGATTCCAGTGCATTGACATAAAAGACAGTATACAGTATTGCAACTTTAAAAAAAACAAAAACAGTAACAATGAGAAAATCAATCAATGTTCATTAGTTTCCTTTCAGTCCTGATATATGTATGTATGTGCTGCCACTGATTAGCTTGATGATATGTGCGTTTGCATGTCGGAAACATTAAGACAACACTTAGAATAATAAATAATCTCGTAAAACAGCTGACAGTAGAGAACATACAAAGATCAGCAAGCAATCTGATTGGTTAATTTACATATTACAAAACTTGACAGGTGTATTTAGGCAAACACTGTGTATTTACAGTATCATGACAAGGGTCTATAATAAAATCAATGTCCTCTGTAATGACCTGACATCACAAATAGTTTCCATAGGAAGATATGCAAGAGTGCACTATTCAAATCAAAGACTTTATGTTTTAATGGCTGCACCTTTACAGCAAATGGGATCAGTTTATAGACATTTAGCCGGACATGTGAAGATTTTTTACATTAGTGGCCTTCCACAGCGCTCTCATATAAATGTAGACACTTTAAAATTCTTCCCTAAAGTCCTCTCTAGTGGTTGATTTAAGGTACAGCAGCCTAAATAGAGACTCAACTGAAGGGCTTATTTGATTACATCCAGAGACTTCATGAACAGTTTCCTCAGTTTTCAAATACTGTTATGCCATATGTCAAATGTTACTGATTTAAGTTTGGTGTATTCAGAAAGTGGAACATGATTTATTTGCCTCTCGAACATCATAACAAGTACACACAGTGTGAGTGATGTGAGGCACCTGAAATCAGGATCAGCCCATATGAGACCAGCAGTTTCAGTCCAACCTGTTCCACCCACTGGCAACAAAAGTAACAGCATTTAAGAGCTGCAGATAAACAAATCCCAAAGTCTGAAACTGCTGTTACTGTCTTTTTCCTGTAGGTGCTGCAGGTTGGCAGGTGTGGAACTGATCAAATGGCTTCCTCTTGGTAGTGCTTCACATCTAAGACGATTAGGGTTATACGGTACCTGCTGACAGGTGCAGAAATGTTTTGCACAGTTTTGTGAGTTTCCAGTATGAAATCAGCAGGAATGCATGGAAATTAAGTAAATAAGGTGTTTCAATTCCTTACCAAGTCAAATGTCTAAATCCGTCCCACACACTCAAATAGGGTACACACACATATACTCACACACAGAGATCCCCCACCCAGCAGCACCCTTCACACAAACCACCACAACCGTTTGTAACCTTGTGTCAACCAAGGCCTGTCCTGTTCCCAGGCTTCACTGGCCCGCAGTGTCCTCACTGTGAACAATCAACAGCCACTGCTTGTTGTTGAATAACTGTTAAATATTATCCAGATGACATCGATATTGTTGGATAAGCTTCTCCCCTTCTCTTCCAAGTGCGACTGCCGCCATGAAACCATCACAGTTTGGTGAACACAGCTTCCAGCTGACTGCCAGTCGCCCACAGACCTCAGGACACCACAGGACTCATGTCCCATAGCTGCAGACAAACATACGACACCATCAGTTTGTTGTCAGACAAAGACACTCATCAGCTAGCTACCTCAGACGTTCATGTGTATCTGTTTGGATCTGACACACAAAACAACATATTTAAATCCATTTATTTATTTTTTCCCCACAAATGTATGCATTGCAAAGCCTCCAAAGCAACATTCAGATTAGCAGTTACTAAAAACACAACTAGAAAATTATTTAAGGTTAGCAGCCAGGTTGACATTAGTGAATCAATTAGATTACAAACCAATTAATTCATATATAAAATGTGCAACAAAAATAGTACTTTTTTAAAAAAATGTTCTGCCTGTAGATGTGATTATGGAAGAACCCGATGAACTACATGACAGACTGATGTTAAATATGTAGTGAAACAGCTAATATTCTAAAAATATGAAAATTTGTGTATACCTCAAAGGTTCTACACTGCTCATGTATTATTATTACTTACTTCCACACCAACCAAATATAAAGCAACATGATCATTTAGTTTATCAGAGCTGTGAGACTGCTAATATATTGCTAATATTCTTGTGTAAATTCCTAAATGAATTTATGTTTGAGCAAAATACTGCTATATTTAACACACACAAAGCTGGCCTGGCAGGTACCTAAACATAATAATAATAATAATAATAATAATAATAATAATGAACCTAACCTTCTTGGCAGAGTTTAAAACTGCTAAATGTGTGTGTGCTTGAATGTCTTATCTGAGACTTATGAATACAACAGATACTGTTTGTTCCCATCCAGACCTTGATAACCTTGTCGGTGCCAGAGGTGAGCAGATTTCCAGTGGTGGGCTCATAGTGCATGTAAACAATGCTGTGCTTGCTGTCGTGGAAGGTGGCTGTGGGCGCTCGACTAGAAGACACAAAGGGAACGCCGGTTACTTTACTGTGTGAGCACTCCAGGAGGCTGAGAGCACAAAGGGTCAGTATATGACAACAACAGAGGCTGATTGTTACTCACTCCTCGTCAGTGATGGACTCGTGGCAGCTGTCACACACACGCACCTCGAACTCGAAGCCCATGAGGGGGATGGTGGAGCGTTTGGACGAACATTTGCCGCACACTGCCTGGCCACACTTCCTACAGTGGTGCTGAGGGACACAGGGGGACTTCATCATGTCAGCTTTGATTAGCAACGCTCTCATTTCTCACCAGGAGCGGATGAGTTAGGAAAAGCATTAGTAGTAGCTCAAAGGTCCAGTGTGTAGGATTTAGTGGCATCTAGCAGTGAAAATGCAGAACAACTGAATGCCACTTGCTTCACCCTCCCCTATAGAAATATGGCAATTCAACATGACAGACTCTGCAGTAGACAAGTTTCCTAGTCTTGGCTATGAAGTCCTGAGTCAAGTCCCAAGTCAAGACCAACAAGTCCCAAATTAAATGAGTATTCTTGAGTCCCAAACAGGTCATTATGCACTCTTTACTATATTTAATTTTACATTTTGAAACAACAAAGCAAACATATCAGGTGTATCCTGGTGTGTTAAAATTAAAAATAATTTTGGATTTTGTCAAATGCTCAATGGCACAGTGCCGACACTGGACTAGTTTTAACACTTGTGAATGACCTTATGATATTGTTGTTTATTTATGTTTTTAAGATCATTAATAAAAAGCTGATCTCAGCCTCCTCCAATTCCATAGTCATGCTCTCTACTGTACGTGGGAAGTTCCACATTATCAGTCATACTGCTTACAGTGCTGATTTATTGGTCCCACCCTCAGTTCTATTTGGCTGTTTTGTGTTCATTCAACATTTTTCTTTATGAGCAAATGAAAGAAAAAACTGGACTTTATCTCCAGAAGCACCAACATTACAGCGTGCTTGGTTCTTGCTACAGAATGTCCATAAAAGAATGCTGTGCAGTCGAAAAATGGCTATTACTGTAACCATAAACTGTGGATCACTCACACTCACACACACACAGCTGAAATGAGTAACCACAACATAAATCTGTTGCTGAGAATGAGACAATAAAACAGCCACAGGATGTTTGCTAGCCATTAGTGTAGCGGGAGTGAAGAGTTGCATATGTTTCCTGGAAAGTTGTTTGGGATGAAGGGTGTGGTGGAGCTACTGATCACTGGATCTACCTACCCATTACCTGATATCTAAACTGTGATAATAGTTGTTTGTATATTGAAGAGTAATGAATAAAAGAGCAAGAGAAATGGGATTGTACAGTACCTGTCGGAGGCCGATCTTCTTACTGTCCCACATCTGTTTGAAGTTCCAGAAGAAAGGCTGCTCACACTTCTGACAGGAGTCACTGTCCAACCATTCTGGGGTCTGTGCAAGCACATTTTTAACACACAAAAAGTTATTTTTTATTTTTAAGACCCAGGCAGCGTGAAGCAATTTTGCTAGACAATAGAACAAACTACAGTAGAGCACATAAGTCAATGTTTTTTTTTATAAGCTATATAGCTTTTCTTCTAGAAAAAAAGAGTAATTAAAAGAATACTTCAGCATGCTGGACCTTATTTTGGTTCATTTCTGAGAGGGAGATGAAAATATCGATATTAATCACATATCTGTTAAGTTTGCAGGAGTCAGGGTGTGTCTAGCCTAGTTTAGCTATCTCATTTAAATAATGTATCTTATTTGCTTAATTCCTAGAAAAACAGAAGTTTCTAGTTAAAGAGTTACGTGCTGCAACTATTTCTTGACAAACAACAATTTCCATCTGCCCAGCACGTCTGTGTCTCCTGCTATAGCACAGATTTTGTCTGTTTATGTATGAATTAAACAGATATGATGCAACATGTTTGGGAGCTTTAGAAGTGTGGATAGCTGTTTTAAACTTTGAACAGAGGACCACGGTAGCTGTTTCCCCCTGCCTCCAGTCTTTATGCTAAGCTATGCTAACCTCCTCCTGGCTCCGGCTCCACATTTATCACAAAGACATGAGAGTGGTATCTATCTTTTCATCTCACTCGAAATCAGAACACTTCCCAAAATGTTGAACTTTGGCTTCAAATGTTGTATTTTCTCCTTAGCTGGGCCTACATTTTGGTGAAAGGATCACAGAGCAAGTCTTTTTTTAAAATACATATATTATGAGAAAACTTAATTCAGAATCTTAAGCATCAACGCCAACACAGCAGATATTGGACGTCACACAGACAGAAGTAGTCGAGGGACAGCAGCCGTGACACGTTGAGTTAGAAAACTAATGTGATAAACTTGCTGCTTTTCTGGAGGGTAACATGTGGATGCTGGGAAATAGGACATGGGGTATCCTGAAGAGTTGATGTCAAGATGCCGCCGGTGTGTGTTTCCCTTAAGTTGGTTGCTATAATGCCACCATCAGGGAAATTGTCCTCATACCAAAACATGACTTTTCTTTGTTTGTGTATTTTTATGGATGATACAACAGTGTCAAACAAAGAGCAATAAGAATCTGGGCTCAAACAACAGAGCACAACAGAATACTGCTGAGGCTAGATTAAAGTGACTCTAGGTAAATAAAGAAGCAATCAAGTCCTAACTAACTGTGTGGAACACAGAGGGAGGGGAGAGAAAATCAAAGAACATACAGCTAATCTGGGGCCCTTTCATGGATCTCTTAAAATAATTTATCCTAGAGTAGGAGGGAAAATAAACATCAGCAGTTTATCCAACACGCTGATCTGTATCGCAGTATGTGCACGTATGCAAACAGGCATGAAAACACACGGCACACATGAAACATTTCCATATTTTTCCATTCTTTCCTCACGATGTGTCACAGTTCACAGATGGGTTATGAATGTGTGTTTGTGTGCTGGGTTGATCTCACACTCCATCAGGCTGCTGTCTCCTCTTCTGTCTCTCTCTCTTTCTCTCTCTCTATCTTTCTCACCTCTTGTCGTGTTACGTCCATGTTCCAGATGACGATACCTCCATCTGAGCTGCAGGAGATGAGCTGACGAGTGTGTGAGGCATAGCACAAGCCCTGAATCTTGTCACTGTAGTGAACACACACACCGTACAGGTATTAGACAACAAATTATGCATGCACTGAATTAAAAAGTACACTAAGTTTGTGTCCCAGCCTGTTGACATGAACATATGTGGATCGTATGAGAAATGCAGATGGACTTTTGCTGTCATCTTACACTCAAATCAGATATGTCACATAAAATACAACTATTTTATTTAGACAGTCAGGAAGACGTGCAACTCATTACATAACTCTGATATCAACTTCAGATGTTGCATCTGATTCATTCTTATGTGTGAGTAAAGACATTTTTATAGACTGCTCCGTCATGAGATGAATCTCTTCAACAGCTTGAGCTATTTCTCAGTATTTCACAATTCATTAGACTGATTTTCTTTGTTGTGCATAAAGTGACAAATGTATGACAAGGTATTTTATGACACTGTTACATTGGTATCATTAGTATGTTTGTTATCCTTACTTGTGTCCTTGCAGTTCTATGGCGGTGCCTTTGCGCCCTCCAATGTCCCACATGATGATCGAGTGGTCCGAGCTGCCGGAGAACAGCACCCTCTGGACCGGGTCCCAACACAGGGCCGTCACATTACCTGGAGCAAAGCACAACACGCACACACACACACAAAGACAAATATGTGAGAGAAACACATCAGCACAAAGTCCCACTCCCACACAAAGGTCACTTCAGAAGGACACACATGAGGCCAAGGCCGGTGCACAAAATACCATCACAGCTCTGAGGATGAACCTTGTCAGAATTATTTATGTTCTGCTGATCATGCTAAGTGATAAATTTAGGAACTGGGTTGGTGTCCCGGGGCTGTCATGCACAGGTTCTCATAAGACTTGTTTCATTTAGTTTAAAAACTATATTTCTTCTGTAAGTGATTTTATGCGTTGAGCCTAAAGGCTAATTTTTTAACTGATCCTATTAACAGACTCATTGGAAATATCATCAGTTTGAATGTCCTCTCTTTTTACTGCTCTTTCTGATATTTTAAAAGGCAGTAAATGATTAATGACAGTCAACAAATAGCTGAATGTTACTAAATCCTTTTGCTAAATTCAAGATCTTTGTTCCGCGCCCTGAACTCATCTTAGAACTACTTCAGCTGTCTCTTTATCCTTTAACTCCGCCCATCAAGCTTGTAGCTAAAGACTATAAATCCTATTAAAGACACTGTAAAAGTGATTCCTACTGCATTCTTTGGTGAATCAGATTCTACAGTGACAGCTGCAAAAGATTTTCTTGAACATTGAAGACCGTCAGGGCTATTAAAGTCACCTCTTAACTGGCTCAATAATTCTACAATCTGACTGAAGACATCTGACGTCAACTATAATGTGCAGCTACTGTATGAATCTATATGTGAGGTTGCTCTAAATATAAAAGAAATAATTGAAGCAGAAAGATTTATTGTATACGGTTTTCTTATTTGTAAGGCCATATGTAACAGTTTTATTTTATATAGGGTTAGGGTTAGGGTTATTTATAGATAATTACTAAAAGTATTATGAAATTCAAGTGTAAAATAATGAAAAACACAATTCTTGACATTTCCCTGAGCTCAACATAACGCCTTGAAATGTTTTGTTTTGTCCACATTGTAAAGATATTCTATTCACAATGCTAGAGAGAAAGCAAATCAATCGACTAATTTTCGACTAAATGTACAGTGTGTGCGTGTGTGTGTGTGTGGTGTACCAGTGTGTCCCTTGAAGGTAGTGACCAGGCTGCAGCTATCCTGTTCTAGCTTCAGGATGGTCACCTGACCAGACTGGTCCCCTACAAAGGCGTGTCTGGTCTCCACGTCGAACCTGAGGTAAGATTAAGGTCAATGAAGAAGAAACTGTGTCTTGCTGAAAAACTACTAATGCATTAATTTGGATCTTCTTCCGTTACAAAAACACAGACGGAAAAGGCAAAACTGGGTTTACGGTTTTATCGGTGTGTAAACTATAAAAATTTAGGATCTGAGTCAACGCCCTGTGTGTGGGAGTTACAGTGTGTCAGTGGATGACTCTTTGTTCTTTCACTGACCATTTAGTCAGAGACCTCCTCTGACCTGGTTAAGTCACTACGGACCAAAATCACTACAACACTGTCGGCATTGTAGAAAGAGAAACAATGACGACTGCACAAAGAATAACCTAATTATCCCATCCAATCTAAATCATTCTGTCTTAAAAAAAAAATCAATACAAATCTAATTACAGCAATTGAAGTTTTAAATTTTCTTTCTCCCTCTGGGAACCTGAGATTATATATTCTGTGCCATTACCAGTGAGCACAGATAAGGTGATTTACAAGTGAAAAGACACTGAAAGATCTACATCCCCTCTCCTTTTCCATTCCAAACCAATTTTAATAATGTTTGGGAATAGAGTAAAAGTTGAGCATTAAGCTAAAATCAGGTCTCCAAGCTGCCAGAGAGCCTCATTTTCATCATCGCACATATTTTCTTGACTATGGTTTTGACTAACCCGTTGGCTTAATAAGCCTCACTTGTCAAAACTGTCTTCCTATATTGTACATGTTGTTAATGAGTTTCATTTTAAACTTGCAGTAGTTGTGTCATTTATCCCTAGGTCAAGTCCGCCTCGCCTACAATGTCGCTACACTTGCCACACAGTTTGAGAAGCGCTTGCCTTGTTTGATCATGTGATTTTTAGACATATGGGTTACATATGACTGTCACTTAAACTGCAGTGCCGTTGGAACAAGTGTAAACTAGATGTCTCAGATACATTCTGTTCAGTGTTGTTCCTTATAAAGCAGTCAGTACAGAAACTGCCCTTCTTATCACAGTAAAGAAATGTTACTGTCTCTGCTCTTGCCATGCTAACCAGATAAGTTAGCATGTAGAGGCTAGCAGGATACCAACAGTCTAATGACCTCATGGCACCCTCATTGGTATGGATCAGTGTTGCTGCTGAGCACTCACAGCCTTTCATCTGGCCATTACAGAAACCTACTCAGACTGTTTCCTTGACAACAGCATGACTGATGCCTATTGTTAGCCCTTCCCATTAGTACAAACTAACTGGAAGCTAATCTCAATTGCCCTGTCTTATGTTTCTGTGGCCTTAAAATAGACTATGTTGTCATAATAAAAGGAAAAAGATTTAGTCCAAAGCACCAAAGATGGCTCGTCACTACTTCCCACTTGGTTACGTCCACTCCACTCCATTTAGCAAGCTGTCAGGTTCATTGAGCGCACTCCAAGGGCCAAGCAGCCGACAAATCAAGACAACAAACAGATCGGGGGGGGAGGAAATTAAAGGATACTGTAGTCCCGAAACCCAGGCGGCGGTGCGATACGTCCCCAGCTGCTGGCCGCTCTCTGAGCAGTGCCAGGTGAAGTTTTTGTCCTGGCCAGTGCTCAGAAGCCACTCCATCTCCAACACAAACAGCACCACTGTCACTCTGCCCTGATGGGCTGCAGGCACACAGAAACACAGAGATACAACACATGAGATAAGTACCCAGAAATCCTAGACAGGATGGTGTAAACAATTTCAAAACAGTGTATAATCAACATATTTAGTGGGCGGACATTGCACAGATATATGCACCTAACAACCTATTTACAGAAGCAGAAAGATGGTGAAATAGATATTTGAGATGTACAGTTTCACAGTACACACAGCCACACATAACACATATCAGAGAAACACATATCACGAAAGGTCAACTGTAAATATTACTCTGCATTCATCCAAGAATATGTTTTCCAAGGCCTGTGTGTGCATTCATCTGATAAAAATATATCTAATGTGGTTGTAGAGGAGGCATGTGGAGATCAATCAGTGGTGCTCTGGTCCAGTTATTTCTGAGTGAGTTACACTCAAAAGAAAGAAATGAGTTATGAACACTGCCGGAGAACAAACATTCCTTGCACAGTTTTCAGAGCCTTAAGTACACAGAGCTGAGCAGACTTTATAAGCAGTAAATTGTCCTGAAACTGCCTGGGTAAAAAATAATATGGTACAGAGATTTATAAAATATTTTATGGTGACAGCTCTTAAAAATAAGCTTTCAGAGACATAATGAGGGTCAAGGAACAGGCCAGTTACATATTTCAAAGATACACTTCATGTAAAAATCAAGGTACAGCACAATGAATGCCAATACTACATTACTAGGCGTCTGGAGATATAAGACTTTTTTTGTCTTAAAGGACCTCTTAAGGAAATTAAAACATATATGATACAGGCAGGGGCAATAAAAGAGAACGGCACAAATTAAAGCTGCACTAGGTAACATTTATAAAATATAACTTTTTGTCAAATTTGCTGTACCTCTCACTATATCTTGACAGTACTGTACAGTAATCTGTGGGAAAGAAGGCAGGTCCCTTTGGCTCCTCCTAGTGCTTCTAATGGTATTTGCAAGAATCCACCGGGCCTAAACGAAAAAAGACCAAGGAGGAGCAATAAGAGGAGCCAGAGGAACCTGTTTTTTGTCACACATTATCTGTCTCATATAGCACTGTCAGCATCCTTTAAATTATTAGGTGAGATCATCCCAGTTTGTCACAGTCCATGTTTTGTTATAAGAGTAGGTCAGATATTTACACAGGAGCTTTAAGATCTCACAACTATCCTTTTCTGGTGCTTTCAGATTAATAACTGATACATTAATAACACTTGATATTTTAAAGAAAGAAACAAGTTAAATTAAACTTTCAATGTTTGGGGGTTTTTTGCACAGGCATTCAGAAGGTATGTCGGACTATTCATAAGAGTTTCTCTGAATTATGACAGATAGAACATAATATAAAATGCTGGCTTTTTCCATCATGCCCTCTTTTGGAAGCAAAAAAATATTAAGGCACTACTGAAGTAATGTGAAATTAAAAACAAAGTCAGCTAAGCTTTTTACAAAAACGAGTAATATTTGTAAATTTGTTTGAACTGAAGCTATTAACTTTAACAAACTGACAATGGTATCTTGTGGTTCCCTTCCTGACATGTGTGACATTAACTTCCTGTCTCACCCTGGTAAGTGCTTGCTGGGGTCATCTTATTGTAGTCTTCTGACAGGATGAACTCCTGAAAGACAAGAAGTGGAGAAGATCAATGTTCACACTGACTGAGGTCAATTGCTAAGCTTTCTAAAACAAATGGCAAAGAAATTATGTTACAGTGTAAATTTCATTTAATGTGCTGTACGTAGTAACACTTGAACGCTGATTATATTTGAAGTCCTGCAGATGGTTAAATACTTCCACCTTCACTTGCTAAAGAAAAACATGTAAATTACAAGAAGCTGCAGGCCTGTGTATAGGCCAGTGAAAAGAAGAACAAGTCTTGATCTGACAGTGTGATTTCCTCTGAGGCCACCACCCATAAACACTTGTAGGAACTTGAAGTTTTTAATTTTGTTCTGACATGAAAACCCTAGAAAGTCTTCTGTTATGTTACTGTCTGACTTTGTGTTGAACCAACTTGTTCCAAAACAAAAACTGGATGGTAGAAAATGCTGCATCTCAGAATAGACACAGTACAACATTTCTGAGATAGTTTGTCATGGACCACAGTGTTAGTTTAGGGGAAAATTCTGACCCGCCATTGCTGCAGGGGGGTCACAGAAAGCATTAGCAATCACCCTTTGGCAGCTATGAATATCCAGAGTAAATTTCAAGGTATCACGGCCAAAGTAATGACTGAACAACGAAGCAACCTCCTGCCTTCCCACTAGTGGAGCAAAAATGACTTTGAAACATTATCAGAGCAGAGAAAGTCTGTACTTCATATCTTTTGATTTCTATGTGCCTCAATGATAATTGTGATTCAAATCAGGAAGTGTCTAGGGTTCCATGCCAGCTCTACACAAGAGAAAAGATGAAATTCAGAGGTTTTCCTTTCTCACCAAGACAGCGCACAGTGACCTGACAAAACTCTCATTCCAATTGAATAAACAAACTCACCAGAAACATTCCTGCTGCACTGAAAAGCAGCCAACACTTTGACCAAAATACATACAATTAGAGCTGCATTCCACTTTGTGCGCTAAAAGGCAAATATCACAAGATCTTCATACTGACAAAACCTACTGGGATGACGTGCATCATTCAGGTGATTATGACTGAAACAGCAAGACAAGCAAACAGTCTTCAGTTGAGTGAGGAAAAGAAAGAAAGGACAGAGGTGTGTGTCTGAATGGGAGGCAGGTTGGTGGTTGGACTTACACAGATACTTCCAGTATCCATCCCCACGGACAGCCTCCTGGTCTCTGGGTTAAAGGACATACAGGAGCTTGGTGCTGGAGACACAAAGACATACAGTGAACACTCCTGCCTGTATGTGTGTGTGTGTGTGTGTGTGTGTGTGTGTGTTGTCTAAGTGTATTGTTATGGTAATTTCCCTGTCACTGTGATTTCTGTTCTGTTATAGTACACGTCTCTGCATTATTATCCTTACGTTTGTGAGAGCCAACGGTGATATGTGTAAGAATTCTGGCAACAACAGATAATATATAATGAGTTATATAAGTGGTACTAGTTCATTCTTGACCATGGAGACAAAAATAAATCTAATTTCAAGGTCAATTTACTAGCTTTTTCTCCCTGCGTGGATGCAGCTTGCTCCATTCTTAGGTCGCATGATGACAACTGAGCAAACTCCATCCACTGAGACAGACAATGAGATGCTACTGAAAGCACTTTAATTTGCAGTAATCAGTGGGCCTGGTGTTTCTTGGCAACTACATCCCAAAAAACACAGGATATTTGATGCAGATACCCAACAGCAATATCTGAGAGCTTCAAAAAACTATATATCAGCTGATATACTGTCTTTAAAATAAAAAATATAATTTCACTTAAAAGTAAATATTGTTAAGCCATTTCAACTAGTCTGTGGTGTTGATGGTGTACTGGAAGGCATTGGTTTCAACGTGATCCAAGCCATAACAACTACCACAGGGTCACAGAGTTGAATTAAGAGCTCTCTGAAACACACGGCGTGGTGGTGCAGTGGTTAGCACTGGCAGGTGCTCTGGTTTACTCCCACACCTCCAAACACACACAGGTTGGGTTAACTAGTGACTCTAAATGGCCTGTAAGTATGAATGTGTGCCCGAATGGTTGTGTGTGTCAGCCCTGTGATTGACTGGTGACGGTGTCCCCCACCTCTCACCCAGTGTCAGCTGGGATTGTTTCCAGACCCCTATCTCAACATTCACAGCTTACCATCACTGTCATTTTCTTTCCTTATCTAGTTTATTTGAACAATATTTGATTAAAATAGAAATCAACTCTGCACACATAATCTTGTTTATGTTATATTAGTTGCAATTTCCAACAAATTAAATCTACTTTCTTTAGGTCAAACATATGATAATCTGTCTATTGTCTATAATGAGGGGGGGTTTCTGTCAACCGTTTAACCACTTTGAATAACAGTGTGCTGTCGCAATTTCCTGAATATGTTGGCTGAGGTTTGGGAGACCAAAAAAATAATGAATGTGGGACCAAAGTCCCTGCAATTTGACCTCCTCTGAAACAAACATGAAAAGACTGTGATGAAGCAACTGAAAGATGCACAGCTGCCTCTATGTGTGATAAAAAAAAAAAAGATTTTGACTCAAGCCTAAGATAAAAACTGAAAACAAATTTGAATCGCTTTATGTGTAAAACCAGACAGTAGCAATGACTGCGTTATCTTTTGCACTCTAATTTTAGTTTTCTTATCAGTGAACTAAAATGTTTAACATATGCAGCCTCTGGTACTGCTATTGTAAGCTACAGATCTTGCTGATGGTAGCACGGGATTTCCTTCAGTTGCACAACTGGAGAGAAACAAGGACAAACAGTGTCACACAGACATGCAGCACTGCAGTACTGGAGCCAGGAGGGTGAATGATCCTGAATCTAATTTCAGGAACAGTTAAAACTCCACGCTTTCGTGTCATTCTGAGAAGTGGAGTCAGTGTCGATGAGGAGAGACGCTCGCTCAGAATGAGAGCAAACGCAGAGGAAGAGAGAATGAAAACAGGAATGAACAACAGGCCTGTTCCAAGAAGTACGTGTTAACTGTAAAACTGCTGACTAAAATGACACACTCATACATATTCATGACTAATTTGATTACACTGAACAAGCCAATCAATCCCCTTATTCAAACACAGTCATTGCATTCAAAATGTATACACAAAAAAAATGTAAGCAAGAATACTTACATGACATTGTGTGGTAGACACTGGGCCAGTACTGACCGCTGTCTCTCTTCAGCCATACCCGAATCGTCCTGTAGGGTGAAACCGTGACGTTTTAGCATCTGCATCACCAACAGCCCTCAAGGCATCCGAGGTGTTAATGCTTAATGTGTGAGTTGTCGCATTCTTTAGTCTGGGCTGGAGGTCATAAGCAGACTACAGTTTCTCTTTGACAAGTATTCTTTAATCAGCACCGACAAGGCAAGACAGTAAACACACCCAAACATCCCTTTCTCTGGGTTCCCATTAGACTCCCCACTTTACATTCACCACTGTCCACCATACAACGACAACAACAACAAAATAAAATGAAGGAAATGGAGCATTTATTGCCACCTCTGCAACAATATTATAGTGCTGTAAGTGATAATTAAATAATAACTACTGGAGTAATAATAATAATAACAACGGGGGCACTGTCTTGTTGAACTGAGACATCAGAACAGGGAACAACAGAAACATGGGCTTTGGGTTGCAATTGTATGCAAACAAGAAATGATTTGTTGTGAAGCTTCAATTTTTTGAGATGCAAATCAGTGACGGCAATACTGCACTTTCCCAAACGGCAGCATTTCTGTGAAAATGGGCACATTTTCTCTGAACAAGAGAGGTGAACAGTCACCTCAGTGATGTACTTCAAGCCTCCTCTACAAGGCCAACACCTGACCCAACAGGGATTATTCAGTCCATCACTGTTCCCATTAGGAGTGATATTTACTGGTAGGTGAAGTTTAAGTGATAAAATGATCCTACAGATTCAAGTGTACTCAATCATTAAGATTCTTAAACTAAAGACCCTGCTTTAGAGACTCATTTTCCCGCCTTGTACACAGCTCAGAAGATGTACTACCTTCTGGTTAGTTCAACCTTTTTTAATGCCTTTTTTATGAGAAGACCCCTCACTGAAATGTTACAGGGGACAGCCATGCAGGACTGTGATAATAATACACAGAAAAACCTAGATACAATGCACACAGTAGGTGAGTTAACACAAGGATTACAGAACATACAACCTTTGAACATGCAGAGGATCACACCCACCCTCAGGTACTTGCAGGTGTCAATAAATACATTGGACACACACACACACACAGAGCCCCCAGGCAAGTGTAAAACTGGCTGAGTGAGGAGAGAAAGTACTCTAACTGGTGGCCCCGTTTGGGGTCCAGACCCCAATGTTGAGAAACTCGTTCTGAAAGGAAAAAAACATTAACTCTCACTGGCATAAGACCGAACACACCATCAGCCCAAACTGCACAGAGAAGACCCTGTGTTTGTTCTGAATGTGTTTATTGTTGGTGCCTAGATATCTGACGTTAGCCACCATCAAACACGATCCCAGCTGCTAAAATACATGTTTATTGACGTTCAATTACATGGTCAATGGTAAGCAAATATACCAGCTATATCACAGAGCATACTGTAGCTAACCAGCATGTAATTCGCTCAAATGACTGTCAGCTGACACCTGAAATGTTTGGGGATGTTTTCTCCTATAGCCATAAACCGGTGGGCCGTTTCTACATAACATAACTTAACCGTGCATGAGCTCGATCAATGACCGACAGGAGCGGGGGCACTGCTGCTGGAGAACAGGGCAGCTTTACGGGTATAGATTGGGATTTGGGGCTCAGTTTGTGGTCTAAGTGATAGATTACCTGTCCTCAGACACGCTGATCACGCCGTCTTCCTTGGGGATGATGACCGCCGTGCTCACAACATCTTGGAAAGCCTCGATTTTGCTCAGCAGACATGGCTTCCGAGCCTGCGGTTGGGGCTGAATTTCGGCCGCCATGGGTTGGTGGTGCACAAACCTCCGTCTCCGGTTCTGGCTCCGGGAAACATTACCCTCCCCGGTCCGACAGCGGAGCCTCGGATAAGAGCAGCTGCTAGCTAGCTGTCAGCAGGTAGTACACGGTGTTGTGACGGCTGCCAGAGACACTGCCAGTCAGCTGACAACACACACCCGCACACAGTCACACACCGAGCATTTCCTCTCAACAAAATAAGACTTCCTGTCGCTTTTCTGCTGTTATAGTTTCAAAATAAATGCGTCCCCTTTGAAACCCCACCACCACCTTAGCTTTCAGCATACAATGGTGGGACAGAGCATGTTCTAGCTATAACATTTAAAAAGCGTGATGCAGTACCATCCTAACTGTCATTAAATAGCAGCTTGTTAATAAAATGATCATGTTGGTACCAGTTTTTAATAAAACACCCTCTGTTAAGGGTTTATAAGCTGCAATTAATGGCTTTATTAAAAAAGGCAGTCCAGTGATTTGGGATTGCACTTCCATAATGTTGGAGGACTCGTTTATATCTATTAAGGACCTTTATCTATTGGGAGACACACATAAAAAAAATAGGAATGGTTAGTGGTCTACTCATACAGCTGAACAGGCCGCAAACACCGGATCCTACATTTCCCATAATGCAACATGCTAGTTTTCATTAGACCCTCCCAATCTAGTTTCCTCTAAACTCCACCCTGTTTGTAACTCATGCTTCCTGTTGTATTTGTAGTCTCTAAGCCCAAGAGGATACAACCCTGATGACAGGGTGACCAGGTTGTGGAGAATCCTCCAGAATGACACTTACTTTGACTTTTTAGCTCTTTACTTCATGAGGAAGAGCCCTCTTGACATCTGGAAAAGGCTGCAGGACGTCTGGGCCCTAATCCATTTATTAACAGTTTTTCAACATTTACAACTGCAGACATGATGGGATGCTGCGGAAATGATGCAAACACTTATAATTGCAGATGACTGAAAGTAAAAAGCCTGTAGCACCATTGTTAATTACTTTAATAACATTTCTAACTAATATAGTCACTACTTTTTTAGTAAGGACTTGCTATTTATAACTGCTGACCTGATATGATGACTTATTAGAAACTCTGATTATCAGGACACTAAATTCATATCTTATTATGTGATGTTATTAAAGTGAGAAACACATATGATTTACAAAACTCTTGTAACTGCATCATAATGGAAACTCACAGCTATGTCATTACAAGTTTATTTTATCAAAACAGAACTCACTGATTCACTCAGGAGTCTTAATTCAAACAACACAATGAGAACTTTCTCACTTGATAATGTAATGAAAGAACTCAGACCATGAACATTTCATCATTACTGTACTAGTCTCTGCATTTGTACTATATTAAGTGTTGATGGTGGATTGACACCAAATTCAACGGAGTAGCAGCTATATGACTGATAACCTGTACAGTCCCCAACTTCCTGTATTAAATAATGAATACAACATGCAGGCTCTAATGTTAGGTGCTTTTATTTTGACAACAGATCTTTTTAGGTTACTCTCGGCAGCTTCACAATTTCACTGACGGACTAAGACAGTAATCAACACTCTTTGACAACAAAACATCACACTTCCGGTTATGATTTACATAATAAACCCCTTTACTGACGATCATGTGTTTTGGTAACGTTTTTGATCCGAATAAAGTATAATCCCGGTGAAACAAATAGTTAATGCATATTATATTTTATGCTGTTTAAGTGCTGACAGCAAACATAGCAATGTGACTCATCATAAGACAACCTGATGACTCCTCTAACCCTCTTTAAGGGTGTTTACAAAAAGTCGTGAAACACAAAACAATTATTTCCGGTCACATTTTGTCTGGATTTCAGAATAAGGGTCTAAAACTTGTAAGGTAAGTAAAAGTAAGTCTATATGACTTTTGTAAGTCATTTTTGGTGCAACAATACCAGAATGTAGGATAAAAGATAGTATTAGACTGGAAAAACTATAGAAATGTTACTTTTGTAACATTTGTAAACAAATAAAACAAGTCCAAATTGAAAAAAAATATCATTTTTTGCACACTAAGTCAAAATAATAACAAATACTTGTAGTGGATATCTTGAAGTCTTTAATTCAATACAAGTACACAAGTATATACAAGTAATACTACAATGTAAAAAATACTCCAATACAAGTTAAAGTCTTGCATTCCAATTTAAATTACAAACTTAGATTTTTACTGATTATGTAAAGACGTATTATCATCAGAAAATACTTGCTCTAAGCCTACTGAAGTACTTATTATACAGATTTACCCGTTTGAGAGGGTTATTTGCTATTTATATTACTAGATTATCTCTATCGAAGCATTAACATGTAGGCAGCATTTTAATAGCTATGACAACTTTACAAGTTGTTGGGTAGTTTGACCTATATGAATGTATCACTTATCATAAGATAATCATGTTTTGTATGTAAAATCTTAATATGCAACCAATACACACTTTCAAATGCGGAGTAAAGACAGTACAGTATTAGTTCTGGTAAAATGTGGATAAGTGGTTGTTTTACTTTTTACTTTTAATCAATTGGTTAACACTGAGTATAAACAATATGTAAATCCAATGTTGCCCACTAGATCCCCTTACACCGGCCACATAAATAGTTTTATTCTGAAAAACGTGTCAGTGACACACCGGAAAATGAACTGTTGTGTGTGTGTGTGTCTGCGTGTGTGTGTGTGTGTGTGTGTGTGTGTGTTGCTCCAGTGAACTCTGTCAAACAAGAGGCAATAGACCTTCCTCCTCTGTGCTATCGCTTGCCACCGGATGGTTTCCTCTTATTTTTGCGGAAGTGATGATGTTTTCCAAGGAGCCACATTATGTAAATTGTATTGCACAATGGAACACGTTGGGCTGAGTGTCATGTGGCATTAAGAGCGGATCCTCAAAATCAACCAGGATGATGTGTGTCGGAGATCAGTTGAAATAATGCTCAAGTGTGTGGTCAATTCGTTGAGACACACAGTATTATGTCACACATTAACATGTTTGTGTAACCCCCAAACTGACAGGAAGCAACAACAGAAGTCTGCTTCTACTACTTTAAAAAATCGCACTTGTTATCAGAATAACACAGTTGTCATGTATTCTTTTTAGCCAAGTGTGTAGCTTATTGCACAAATGGGAAAGACAGACAAAGTATAGCCATTTTAGAGCTGCAGGGTGTGTGAGTGCGTGTGCGCGCATGTCAATCCCTTGCAGCGACTATTCGCTAAACCTGTCTTCCTTCAGATCGTTTCTCAGAGAGGGCTGTCTTTATTTGGTCATCACATGAAAACCAAGTGCCATACTGTCAGCGAATAGTTTCTGTGTGCCCTGTGTGCCTTTTTGCGTGAGGATTTCACTGCTTTTTGTCTCATACGGTCCATCTTTGCCTTCAGTTTGGTCTCTCCGGTCTTCAGGGGTTGTCTTTCACAGTAGCCCACGCCCGTGCATAGGATGAAGTAAATGTTGATTATGTAATCAGCTGTGAGGGCAGACAACGACCCGGTCCTAAATAACATGTGCTCGAAACAACTCAATGAAAACGCTCCGGGGGGGGGGGGTAAGCAGCGCGTCGCCACACATATGTTTGATTCTTGAACACATATTGCATGTACAGAATATTTTCCTCGCATTCCTGCCTCTACGGCAAGCAAGCATGCGCACGAGCCGCTCCGCTTTGGCCTAATTTGGATATTGTAATGAGGGTCTTCAGACAGCCAATGGGGGGCGAGCAAGCGCACATGTGACGCTGAAGGACCGCTCGGGGGGCGGGGCGAAGAGCGAGGCTTCGGTTAAAAGCGGTGCAGAAGAGACAGCGCATTCAGAGTAGGGAGAAGCAGGGACTCACTATGAGGGGGAACTTTGTTACTATGAAACTTAGGAATATTTGCAAAATATTGTAAAAATTATCAAAATCCCTCGTGAATCAATAACCTGCCCCTAGGGTTTGAGGTTTTTAGTCTAGTCCGCCCGGAAAGGGCTTCTACACTCACTATTCTTACACTTTTTTGAAAGAATGTGTGAGACAGGCAGTTAGCCAGCTAGCTAGCTAGCTGAGAGGTGATACAGGCGGCAGGAGAACAAAAGATTTTTTTTGCGTTTTGGCCGGTTGTACTGACACCAAGTCCATGCAGAACGTGTCATTACCATCACAATGCCCGTTTTACTTTTTCTGATAGACACGTCCGCTTCAATGAACCAGCGCACCCATCTGGGCACTACCTATCTGGACATAGCAAAAGGCGCTGTTGAGACTTTTATGAAGGTACTGTAACCACGGGACACATTCATATTGGGAGATCCCGAGCGGGATTGCGGTTCAGATCATCATTGTACTGTTGCAAGCTCGCCTGTCAAACCTGATCTCTCGATAACCGTAAATAATTCTCTACTATTTCCACAGCTCAGAGGGAGAGATCCGGCGAGCCGAGGGGACCGGTATATGTTGGTAAATTTTGAAGACGTTCCGTTCGGGATAAAGGTAGAGTTTGTTTTCGGGTCATGTCCGGCTTTACATTGCGCAGATTGACTGTCCCTCCATCGCTCCACCACGTTGTGATCACTACATCAATTGTGTAGAGAAAATCTTCAGGAGGAGCTTTCATACCCCTTTTAAAACATGGCCGACATTTTGTTTCAATGTGAGCAGCAAGGAACTCTGGGTGTTATTTATACAGCGAGGTGATATCTGGGGGGGAGGAGGGGGAGT